ATATTCTCTCCTTCATACCGTCCTGTTCAAGGAAAGCCACTGGGAAGACACACGTCATTTGTGATCAAAGGGAAGACCAGTTGGTTGAAGACGTCATATTAAGCGGTTCTAGGTACTTTCCCCATAAACATCTTTGCCATTAGACATCTTTGCCCCCAAGCATTTTTGCTGCAAACGTTTCTGCAGTGTAACTAATTCACTGTAAAGCAATTCTGCCATGATAGGTCAACAGTTGGGTTTGACAATTTGGTTTCAGTGAGTTGAAGCATGTTATTTCTTCCAGTTAGTGATGCTCTTGATAGCTTTATTGAGCTGACAGCTGGTGATGATTTGCTCCAAGAATTGGTTTCTTATTTCCTCCTCCTACATTGGAGGGGAAAGAGGATAAGAGTTAAAGGAACCCACATTTCTCATAAAACTGCCATGTCTATCAACAGACACATGACAATATGCCAAGTACAACATACAGCAAAAAATGGAGCAGACGCTTTTACATTGCAGTACGAAGCTCACTTACAAATATGCATCCTAGCGTTTGGAAACTCAATGAAGAAATAAATTTTAGCGAAAAAGAAAATAAGGAGAATGAGGAGAAAAAATCAGCAAGTAAAAAACAAATGTATATAAATACTCTGAACAAAAGACTTACAGGTCAAATGCTTAAACACAACCCACATGCGATGAATCTACACATATTTTAAATGTATTCAAATAGTTGGCATTTTGCAATAGTTTTTTTAAATTATTCATTTCTCATGTTTTATCATATCCTTTTTTAATGCCCCTCTTTAAGTTTTTCTTTTATTTTATCTTTTACGACAAAACTGCCTCATGGCTAGTGAGTTATGTAGTGAAAATCCTTGCAGCAAAATTAGCTACGGTGTTAAGATGCTTACAGCCAAAGTACCAGACACAATCTTGAGCATTTGAGACTATCTGAACAAGTAAACCAGCCCTGTCTTAGAGGTTACTTGGGCTTCCCCAATGCTCTTAAGTTACTCGGGGTTACCAAGCAATAAATTTAAAAAGTAAGCCAATAAATAAGGTGAATTTTAATTGGATTTGATATTATCTAATGGGAACTAGGAGGAGGTAATAAAGAACAAAGTCAGGAAGAAGTTAGAATGCTCTCGTTTTAAACTTAAAATTTTCCTCTTAATCTAAAACATTCTACTGAAATGTAGAAGTGGATAGCACTGGCATTAAAAAGCATGTGAAAATGAGAGTTGGGCTCCATGGGTTCATTTTTTAAAAAAATTTGATTGACGTACTATTTTACGTGATTAATTTACTTATTAGAGCTGACATGTCTAAGTGATATCTTTCTCTTGCCCAGCTCTCTCTGGCTTTGGTAACTTTTGCCATTGAGATCCTCTTTTTCTTTTTGTCATTTATTAACTGCTGGCGCTGTCAAATCGTGCTGGCTGACAGCACGATTTGTGAATTTAGGACACGGTGACGATACCCTGGCCCAGCCGCGTTTACAGAGGAACCTGGGTAGGTTTTTGATGTATTGTTGGGACATAAATAGGAAATGGCAGTTCCTCAGTAGAAGGTCAAGACAATTTGTCCAACAAAGTCATGTGTGAAGCTTAGCCCCGTGAAGAATCTGTGGACATCCAAGGGTTAGCAACGGGAGGTGGGTCTTGGCAGAAGAAGTGACACTTAAAAAGCTTTGAAAAGGTATCAATTCTCCATAAAAGTTAAAAAACAAGAAAGATTCACAGCTGTTAGACACACAAAGGAAGATTACCTTGTGCCCAGCCACTTCCTCTTCCTCATCACAGAAGGTGAGTTTAGGACGGGGGTCAGGGCTTGGGCTCACGCAGTATTCGAATACTGGACTCAGCACATCATGTCACCTCTCTGAGAGTCAGTGTCCCCATCTGTGAAAGAAAGATGACCAATCACCCCTGCTGGGTAGGTACTGGGATTAAATGGGATAAAAAATAAAGCACTGACACATGATAGAGACTCAGTAGATGATAACTCCTGCAACTCAGTCTTATGCTCAGAACCATTTTTTAGCCACTCATGAGGACAGCAGGACACTGAGTATGTTTCTCCTCCTGTTCCCTCGAGTCTTTCTTGTGTGCTGCAGGGTCAAATGTAATTAAAACCTTTCCTTTTGTTTCTTTTCTTTCTTTCTTTCTCTCTTTATTTCTTCTTTCTTTTTTTCCTTTCTTTTCTTTCTTTTCTTTCCTTTCTTCCTTTTCTTTCCTTTCTTTCTCTCCCTGCCTTTTCCCTTCCTCTCATCCCTCCACTATCCTTCCTACCAATTTTTATTGCTTTTCAAAAGTTACATGCACACAACATGTTTCTTGTAGAAAATGTTCATGTTTATTGCAGATAACACAAATAAGCAAAAAAGAGTATATAATTTCCCATAATTCACATCACAGGTAGACCTACTGTGAGTGTGTGTGTGTATTTCTAAACTAGTAATTCTCAACCTTGGCTATACACTGGCATCACCTGGGGAGCTTCTGAAGTAGGTACCTGCAGTTCTCACCCAGAGATTCTGACTCAGTCCAGCTGAGGTGGGGTCTGGTCATTGGATTTTCAAAAGCTTCCCAGGTGATCCTTCTGTGCAACTAGTATCTGTTGACTTCTTTTCTACACTTACGTACTTCACAAAGATGAGCTCATAGCCTGATATTTCCCCTTAATATACCATGATGATCTTTCAGTGTAGATAAATGTACTTCCAGAAAGTCTATTTTTTTTAAAAGCAGGACTTATACATAGTGAATTTATTCAAATAAAAGAAACAACTGAAACAGAACTAAAGATATTAGGAATCTGCAAACGTAAAAAGGTGAATACAAATTAGCTAAATCCATAAACTTTTCAAGTTAAGAATCTGCAAAGTAATTTTCACCTCCTTTCTGTCACATACATACACACACTCATGACATGTTGATTCTGACGAAAATCAGAGAAACCAAAAATATCCTTGAGTTTTATAAACTGTGTGAAATTAATTTCAACAGCATTCTATATGAATGTAAACCCTGATTTCAGGGATGTCTTTGATCATTTCAGAAGTATGATGGTTTTCATTTTTTAACAGTTATTGATATCACATATTGGCTTAATAATTATGATATTTTGCTTACCTAATGTCCCTGTAAACAAAATATTAATATTATTTGCTTTTAAAAAAATAAGAAACACTTTTCAACATAAGCAAATAGCTACACACATTTAAACGTTTTCTTGTGAAACATTTAATACTAATCTCAAGCAAATTAATGGTGATTGCTGTTTGTCATTTCTGGTATGAAATATCTTTGATTTTTTTTCATAGAAGTATAAATTATACTCTTGTGCGGTCCAAAGAATTGCTTAAGGACAAAGAATTCTTAAGCAACATTAGACATTTCAGCACGGGAATTTCTCATAGTGCACTTTTACCTCCTTGAGGTTGAAAATGTTTCTTTCACATATTTTTCAACTTTGCTGTGAAGTAGATTGTTATGTTTCATTGGTGGTTTAATTATATGGCTTTAAATAAAGGTTTTGATTCTGTCCATAGTTCATAGGTCTCAGAATAGATGGCTTTCTGGAAATCATGTATTTCAAGAGATTTTGGATAAACCAACATTCTTTAATAGGCAAAGCCCCTCAATGCAACTGCAATAAATATTACCAGTATGTTCTGGAAGAAAAGGAAGATGATTTTCTCATTTCCACAGTTCTTTCAATTGTTTTAAAATCTCAACATTTCTATCAGACTCAAATTCTGTATGAGCTGATGAGTTTGACCTTTTAAAAATGGTTGCCTAAAATCAGTTTAAATCAATTATTACATATCCTTCAAATCGCCTTTTGAATAATGACTTTATAAGGGGCAACAACACAGCAGCCAAGTGAGATGTGTTCTTTTTCTTTCTGTAAACTGTTAGTGAACATAGGAAGCTCAGCACAGCTCAAAGAGGGCCAGACGTGCACTTGGACTTCACTTCCTCTAGACATTAAGGCCACGTTTAAAGTCAGATTTCTATTGAACAGATCTTGCATCATTTCATGGTTCTGAGAAACTTCAGAAAAATACTCATTATGTTTCTATTATGGGCTCTCTATCCGTGGTGAACCAGCATCACTGGAGCTATGCTAATGTGTTCAACTATCATTGAATAATTTCCCAGGCAGAGGTCTGCTAAGTCATGTAATTTTTCCTTTATTTGCCAGGTCATAGCCACAATTTCCAGAGAATCTGTTTTTTGAGAGAATTTCTTTTCCCTCCAATGAGGATTTGGAAAAAGATGACAAACTTTCTGTACTTCTTGTGTTAGGCCTGGTCACCTGCAATGTCTTTCTGCCCCCAAGGTCTGGGTCCACAATTCTGTTATTCACATGTGACTGCCCAACCAGCCCAGATAACTTTCCCTTCAAGTGGCACCTCCTTGGCCTCCACTAAGTCATTTTAAACGCTGGAACGGCACTCCATTATACCATAATTTATTTAACCCAATAATCTGCTATTGGGCATATAAATTATTTCCAATTCTGATTTAGAGAAATTATAATCTAACAGCTCTAAATGTATCCCCATATTCTGAAAAGTAATCCCTCGAAACAAATGCCTAGATGTAAATTGCTAGAACAAACTGCTGTGAAATCAATTGATAAGCAAGAAGGCATCTTCTTATTTTCTTGTGTAGTTTTTTTAATTACTTGGAAATTTGAAGACTTGTTTCCATATGTTGATTGGCCATCTGCATTTCTTCCTTCATGAGTTGCCTGTTTATGTCCTTTGCCTATTTTCTAGTTGGCCCCTTCACCTTTTTCTTATTGTTTCTTAGAAGTATTTCTTTAGGATGAGTAGGGATGGTTCACTGAGTTAGTATAGCAAAGTTTCCAAAATAGAATGGCTCAAAGAAAACAGGAATTATTTTTTCTCTCATGTAACAGTTTTGAGGTGAGCAGCTCAAGTTAGTGGGGCAGGTCTAATGCACACGGTCATTCTTCCATCTCGTTGCATAACCATCACCGAGGCTGCTGCCCTGGTCTGTGTGGCTAAGTTGGGTGTAGGAATGCCTGCCTTCCAGCTGTCAGAGAGAGGGAAGAAGCACGGAGGATTTTAAGGACAAGACCCTCACGTGGTAAATAATACTTTTTTAAAAATCTAGGTGAGATCTAAGACACAGCCATATCTTAATCAGGTGCAAGGGATGCTGAGATTGTATTGTATTTGTGTAACTATTTGTCCCACTGTGACACTTCTGTGGAACAAACGGACCGTGGATGCAAGTGGACAACTGATAATCTCTACAAGAATGGGTTAATTTTCACTTGTAAGTCACTGGGATTTAGCTAAGATCTCACTTTCTCTGGGAAGTCTTCCATAACTTCTCTGTCCCAGCAGAGTATAATGATTTATCCCTTTCTCTATGTCATTTTACCTCTTACCTATGTCTATAATTATGTGATTATATTTCTATTATTGAATTTCATATTCATCTTCCCCGCTAGAATTGTGAGCTTCTTGTGAGACCATATTTCCAAGTCTTATTCATCTATTTTTTTCCCACCTGCTCCTAGCAAAATGTCTGGCATACATTAAGTATTCAATAAATGTCTTTGGATGAATGAATAAATGAATTTTTAAAAGGCTGCCTTTTATTTAAATCACTTTCTTTCTTGAAAGTGCTTTGTATAAATATTATTTCACTTGATCTATGTCAGAACCCAAAGAAGGAGCCATTATTATTCCTAAGAGATGTTAAATGAATTTGCCAAGGTCAAGTACCTAGGAGGGTAGAATTTCAAGACCACTTCTTGAGCCACGACCCTAAATACGTGAAGATGTTACCCACAAGCGGTCTTCCATGTTTAAGTAGAATGAAGTAAGTCATGGCTGTACAATGCACCTGTGCAGCAATCAGAAAAACTGGATAAATGACAAAAGCATGGTTTTTTTAGGTATCGGAGAGCTGTGAGAACCATTTGGTCCAGATGACTGGGAATTCCGGAAAGAGGAGAGGTCTTCTGGAGGAAGCTGATCATCATTTGCTGTTTGCTTCCATAGTGTATGTGCTGATTCTAGGCACTGAGGGACCATCAGGCTTAGCCTACACAGTGAGACTCTGCTGGAGGAGGGAGAACCCAAAGAGCTTCTATGCCTGCTCAGATGGACATTTGAAGAGCTACAATGTGGCTGGTTTCACCAAGAGCTACCTGTTGAGTTCTGGGCTTGCGGAAAGGAAGCTGCGAGGCTTTCTTTCATCTTCCCTGTAGGAGGTTTTGTGTGAGAAGGAGCACTGCCTTGCCTTTGCACTTTAAGGCTTAAGCATTTGAGAATTTCTCTTATATTCTCAAGTATAATAATATTACATCAGATTTTAAAACAAGACTTTAACATTTTTGTTAATGTTCTAAGAATGTTCCATGCTCATGGCTGTATAAGCATCACTGAACTCAGCATTCTGCTCCTGTCCCCTTCACTGTTAGATTAACTCTCATCTGTAAACTCTGCCATAATTACAACAATGGCAGATTGACAGACACCCTCTGTGAGTATAAAAGGAAAATTAAAGCACAAAGAAAACATGTGGTAAAGAGGAAAGGGTTTGGCTGAGAAATGGGTGCTAAATTCTCCAAATTAAAGCTCATTGAACATAAAAGTTAGAATTATATGCTGAGTTGGAAAGGGTCTCCAGAGGTCGTCTGGTCCAGGCTCTGACCTGTAGGCAGCAGCGCACATTAAAATCACTCAAGACTAAGAGTTAACCGTATTCTGTGTAGCACTTATTTTTTCTCTTGAAAAATTGAACAAACAGTAGGGAAAAGAAAAGCCCAATTAATTCTTAATTCAAAGCTTTTTCTAATTTGTGGTTCTGAAATATTTTGGAGAAGATCTTAAAATTCCAAATCCCTGCCAGACTGAAAGCAGATATTCCAAAATAAATATTTCACTGCTTGCTCTGCCAGTGTGATATGAGGCAATAATTCCTTTATTACCACAAAAGCCTAGTGAAGTCTTTGGAAACAGGATCAAACTAGCAATTCTGCTTTTCTGAGACTGTTGGGGGACAGTCTGTTCTTTAATTTTCCCAGGGGTTATGAAGCGCACAATCCAACCAAAATGCTAAAAAAAAATGTTAATTATACTTGTTAAAATAACTCACATACTTCATAAAAGTGTATTGCTTTTTTCTTAAATCGTATTGATTTACATATAATTAAAATTATGAGAGCCTTTAAATTTTGTGCACTATTTGCTCCAGCAACTCAATTTCCGCTTCTAAAAGTTTATCCTGAGGAAATAATCATAGATGTGCGCGAACCCTTATGAACAAATGTTCATCACGTTATTTCTAGTAGCCAAAATTGGAAACCACTAATATCTAACAATAGAAAAGTGGTTATTAGTACATCTGTACAACAAAATGTCACATAGCCATCAAAGTTACGTCATAGAGTATCCAATGTCATGGGAAAAATGTCTGCAACATGTATCACTGTGAAAAATATCCAAGCGTATATAGTATAACCCCATTTTTCATTTCTGTGGCATCGGTTGTGATTTCTCTTTTTTCATTTCATATTTTATTTGGGTCTTCTCTGTTTTCTTCTCGGTGAGCCTGGCCAGAAGCTTGTCAACTTTGTTTACTCTTTCAAAAAACCAGCTCTTGGGGTTATTGATTTTTGTCTGTTGTTGTTGTAATCTCTATTTTATTTCCTCACTGATCTTTATTATTTCTCTCCTGCTGACTTTCAGTTTTGTTTGTTCTTCTTTTTCTAATTCTTTAAGGTGGTAGGTCTGGTTGTTTGATTCTATTTTTTAAAGCAAATAATATGATCTGAAGGAAATATAACAAAATATTAATAAAGAGTTAAATCTGAGTGGTAGATACATATGTCATTGCTACTTTTTTCATTGTGTTCTATTGTATTTTCTATAGTGAATGTATGTTACTTTGATAGTCAGGAAAAAAACCCTTAAACTATTAATTTTTAATGCTATATCTCTTAGTTTAAGTAAGTAAATGTTAAAAATATTCAGTTTCTGTGTATTTTGGATGATATCACATCCACACATGGTCTGTATTTCTTGCTCAGTCTACATATATGCTGGGCACCCACTGCCATAAATGATTTTATACGTTATCTTGAAGTAGTTCCATGAGTTGCCACTTGTATTTCTAATTATTCTTTCTAATATCTTTCCACCTAACACTTCCCATTTTTCATTAGTGCTTTGAGACTCTTTCACAGTGTTTTTCTATTAGACATGGTGTTGCCTCAATATTGAAACTCATGCTGGAAAAAGGATATTTTTCTATCCAACTGCTCTATAATATTATGGGCTTTCTTGGCAAGATTCATCACCCCTTACTCTGATTTAAACTTATGGGTCATTTTAGGAGATTTCATTGAAAAAAAATTTACCTCTGGTACTAAATATTGTGTTGACTTTGATAAAGAGAGGCCATAAATCAGTGAAAATGAATATTCTGCTTCACAGTGATACTCTCAATGAGGCATTCCTCTTGCGAAATAAAACTTCAATAAAAAAAAAGAATATGTAAAAAAAAGTATACACTGTACCTTAAGAGCACATTCTAACAACATCCTCACCTGACTCAACTCTAATAGACTGGATGAGATGGTGAAGAACTTTGTAGGCTTTCCTAAAGAGCTATACCACAGGCTAGTTTACACTCCAAATTGTCTCAAAGATATTTCAGTTGATTCACACCTGCCTTCCTGAATAATTCAGCCCAAAGTCATTAGGAAGGGCAGAGTGAGGCAGGCCTTTGTGTAGGGGTGGGAGCAGACCATCACGAGGAAAACATCCATGTTTGGGTATGGGGTATCAGAGCCAATGATGGGTGAGGAGAACACCCACGATGGGGTGTGACGGTGGCCTTGACCAAGGTGTTGGAGCCCAGGTGGGTTTAGGGGGTTGCCCACACGAGACTGCGGGATTGTAGTGGTAGCACCAATGGGAGATTAGTCATGTATGGGGTGGGGTGGGGGTGGTAAGTGAAAAAGTAAATACATCGAAGATAATAGAAGCCAAGTTTTGCACTGTGGGAGAAGGAAGTTACAAATATGAAAAGGGAAAAAACTAGGATGAACCTATTGGATTGGAATTGG